TTTCACCAATAAGACTCTCTCATTTTATTTCTCTCATTTTGTTGTATCAGATCCGAGTAACTGTATCCTCCCATTTTGAATCTCTTTGCCGATTGATCGGAAGGACTTGAAAAGGATTTGGGTAAAAAGGATTTGGATTGAATTACAAACTTTGGAACCTTTCAGACAAAACCATCGCCAAACCATTATAACATCGGCCCGAGTTTCACTTTTGAGAGAATTTGGATTTTTGTTTTGGTGTGACTGAACCCCAGAGAGAGGTTGCCTACGTATCCTTTCGGAATCAAGTCAAACGTAGTTCAAGGACGAGAACTTTGTTTTTTATTTCTCTTTTGTTTTGGTTTTCTTTTCTGTTTTGGTTTCTTCTCTTTCTTTTTCCTTTCCTTTTTTCTCTCTTTTTTTAATTTATTTTTCATTTCATTTTCTTTGTCTTTTCTTCCTTTTTTTATATTTCTTTTTTCTTCTCTTTTCATTTTTTTTTCATTCATTTTTTTTAATGACTTCCGATTTCCAATGAGGGTAATCAAAGAATGGGAGCCGGCTCAAAAGGGTTTGCAAAGGGTTAAATGTTTGGATAGTGAGAAAGAAAGCCTTCTTCATCCCAACCGGAGAACATTAATGTTATATAGAGGATCCAACATAGTACCTTTTGACTGCACCTGTGTTGACAGTTGTTTCAGGGATATTTTCTTCGATGTGTCCCAAGTACAACACTCTCTTTTGGCAGTACTCTTGTGCAATGTATGGACCTTTCCAACCTGAAGCCAATTTTCCTTTAGCTATTCTGATTCTTTGTTTTATTTCCTTAAACCTATCTTCATTGCATTTTGATTCTTGATTTATTATTTCGAAGTCTAACAACGTTTTAGGATCGGGGCATGAAGTCCACAAGCATGTCGTGTTATTGAAATCTGCATTTAACAGAACTGAAGAAAAAAAATGACAAAATTAATAAAAGAGACATTCCTGGACAATAAAATATTAATTTCATTTGATTTTTTTTTATTTCGATTGATTTGTTTTGAATTTTAAAGATAGAAGGGTTTACACCGGAAAGTAAGATAATAAAATAAAATATCCGGATCACACCCTGAGATAATCCGGAGGCAGAAAGGATAGCAAGACTGGCTACTGAGACTCCCGTCTGATAGGGAACTTTCAGGCTTGACGATCATTTTTGGCTTTTCCTTTGTCTCGGCAAGGGCTGTAAGGGCCTTCAGTGCCAGATCAAATTCCTCATCTCTCTAATTTTTGTTCATCAAACCTACTGAACCACTCTGAACGGCTTGCGATGTGGCCATAAAGGCAGCATGACTCAAGATTTGGCCCCTTTTTGAACCATTTTCAACCATCTCCCCAATTTTGATAGCCTCGGCGAACGGATTACCCATTGCAGACATCATGTTCTGGAAGTAGTTCACCTCTTGGGCCTGTAGGAAGACCGTAACCATTTCTGTTTCGTCCATTGAAGGCTTTCCCTTGGCGGCTTGCTCGCGCCATATGACAGCATATTCACAAAAATATTCCGCGGTTTTCTTTGTCAATCTTGACACAGAGTTCTCTTTTTGGATTTTTCACTCTTGCTTTTTTTTTCGCTCTTTTTTTTTCGCTTTTTTTTTGTTTTTGGTTATTTTTGTCACTTTTTTCTTTCTTCTCTTTTTTTTTTCACTCAGCTTATTTGATGTCAATGATCGAATCCGATGGGGATTGCCTACGTATCATGACACCGCATGAATCAGATCTTGCGTAGTTCAGAAAGATTAGGAATAAAGTAAATAAACTAACTCTTTTTTTTTCTGGATTTTGATTTATTTATTTTTTAATTTTCGAAAGACTTATAAAGAAGAAAGATTTTTTTTTTATTTTGATTTCTTTGTTTTTTTTTGAGAATTTTTGAAAAGAAAGAAAATATTATTTTGGATTTTTTAAATATTTTGGGAGAAAGACTTCTAAAAAAAGGTAGAAAATATTTTTGGATTTTGAATTGATTTGTTTTTTTTTTCAAATAAAAGACTTCTATAAAGAAATTTTTTTTTTTTTGGTTTTAATTTTTTTTTTAAAGAAGGAATCAAAGGAAAATATTTTTGAATTTTTGAAAATTGGGGCCAGAACCGATGACGTTTGTCTACGTATCTCACATCCGGTGAGAATCAGACCCGCGTAGTTCGGTCAGAAACGCATGACCTTTTTTTTTGAAAATATTTGGCGTATTTTGAATTTTTTTTTTTTTTTT